TTCATTTGAACAAATCGAATGAAGAAATCAATCAATTGTGCAGAAATAGTTAGGGGGTTCCAGGGACCGAAACTAATTTATTTATACTGTGCAAAGACATTTTAAATATGGTATTAATGCAAAAACTAATTTGAAATGCACACCCTGTTGTTCTATACAGTTATATCTTATGTATGCACAATTTTCAGACAAGCTTTCCTGCTTTCCATCACAATCAGCTACAAGTGAATACATGATCAGTTCTTTAATTACACGATTTAATAATTGCATTTAAATCAGCTTCATACTGTATTATTGTCATGCGTAGCATTTTATCCTGAATAAATTGTGGTCTGGTGGAGAATTAAAATGATGATTAATTCATGTCAGAAAGCCACAGCACATATTATCGTTACCGCGGAGGATGAATTAGCTCCCTGTGCTTTCTTCACATTGGGAAATTACAGTGCGTGTTGATGGGGTTAGGAGTCACGGACAGTCACAAAAACCTTGGGGGAACAAGGGTTAAATTAAGTCGGCTTTCCAGGAAGGTGGCCCCGAGCTGAGGATATGGGTGCCAGGGTATCGGGCTCTGGCTCTCTGGAGCTTTTTGTGATGCTGACTGGCACAAGCGCGGCAGAAACATTGCTCTGATTTAGCCTCTGACTGCATGCCTTGACTGGTGGTGAACTAACATGCACTGACAGACATTCTACCCCCTCTGCCCACAGCATAGTAATGTCAGAGCAAGCAAGAGAGAGATGGAGCTGTTTACAAACACGCACTCTAAAAGCAAATAACCACTATAGTGCCGCAGCGAATAGATGCACACGGCAGTGTGGGGGGCCCGATTTACCTCATATTGTGACATACGCAAAATATACACTCTTAGAAGAAAAGGTTCTATATAGAACCTTAAAAGGTTCCATCAGCGCTGCGTATTTGGAACCCCTAAAAGGTTCTATACAGAACCCTTTTTAAGAGTTCAATTTAAAAGTTCTTTGTAACCAGAAATAAATATGGAACCTTTTGGGTTCATTCATTATCATTTAGTTTGTCCTTAAAAATTTAAATATTTCATATTATTGACAAACATCAAGAACCTAAAATGTATCTATGAATGCATGTGAATGATCACAAAATTCAAGATATGGGTGTTAGAAAATGTATATGTCATTTTATGTAGTTAATCAATATCACACATTCCTCCAAAAATCAGCATGATTAAAATGTGATATTAAGTTACTACAACAATTTAATAGACAAAATTAGCTAAAGGAAAGCGTCTGTTAGAGGACGCGGTTAGGTTTAGGTCAGGTGACGCCTTGGGGGTGAGAATGGGCTGATAATAGCCTATAAAGAACCTTTGTGCCAAAGGGGTTCTTTCTTATCATTATAGAACCTTTTTTTTTAGCATAAAAGGTTCTTTGGAGTTGAATAAAGAACCCAATGCTTCATATACATAGAACATATATAGAAGAGTGTATTGCCTGGTAGCTAACATAGTACTAATATCTGACTATATAAACAAAAATGATGAAAAATGGAGATACTAGTTTTACGATATTTTAAATTGGGTCCCACTATATATTAAGTGGCTTTAAGTACTATGTACTTACATTAAAATGAATAATTTGATACAATGGACTTGGATACAATGGATTGTGTACATACATGTTTTTACATTGTACTTATATTTAAAAAATACCAGCATGTAATTACAGCTGTAACTAATTTATGTAATTACATCTGTAATTACACAGCTGACCCATCCCTTATACTTAAACCTATACCACCACACCTGCCCCTAACCTTACCCATATCACACCTCAATAGCAACATGAGCACAATAAGTACATTGTACTTATTTTTCAACGTAAGTACATAGTACTTAAAGCCACTTAATATAAAGTGGGACCTTAAATTGTATTCGTTTATTAAGTAAATGTCCTAATGTATTTTAGAGTGAAAAAAAGAAAAACTATATATATATATATATATATATATATATATATATATATATAGTGTATGTTTCTACTCATTGTAATTGGTCCTCCCTGAAAGTAGAAACGAGCCTAGAATGCCTGTGCCGGGCCGGATGGATGTACCTTGACAACCTGGATGTCTCCCTCTGGCTAAAGCCTGGGCTTCAGTAATGCTGGTGCTAACTGGAACAGACAGCAGTTAATCTATTCCGCTCTCTTCTCATTCACAAACCTACTCTATATGAATCATTCTATTTATGTTCGTGACTGTGTATGAGCATTAAGGTTAGTTGTTAACAGTGCTTGAAAAAAAAAAAAAAAAAAAAAAAAAAAACAAGTGCCAGATGGTTTTGGGAGATTGTTGATCTCATGTACATCTACAAAAACATTTGATCTCTTCACTAAGTGGATGTTCTTAAAAACGGATACCCCTGATCGTTTCAGGCCTCCAATGGATATGCTTTTTCAGTGCATCGACACAAAACAGGGGCATGGAGGATTAGATTATTTATGGCTATGGTGAGTTGCGGTTTATGGGGCCTAAAAGGCACTTACCTGTATACCAAAAATAACAATCAGGCGGACGTAGATAGCTCTGCCATCCTTTAAGCAAACCTGAGTGAAACTGAAAGCACATCAAAGCTTTCACATTGAACTTAGGGGTGAGTTATATATCTTTTTTTTTTTTTTCAGGCCAATCCCTCTGTTGGGATGGACAGAGCTGCTTTATTACACACTGTCATTTGGTCACATTAACAAACCCCCACAGACATATCCCTTTTGGGAGCGTTCCCCATTTACATTCCATTATTTAAATTTCCTCATGAGCAGAATTAATGACTCAGGCCTTCTGAAGAGGTGCCGCTGTTGCCGGCATCACTTAATTAGAATAATCTATCTCTACGGGTCAGGATGCATGAAAAGGGAGCACAGCAATGGAACGTTTCATTAGAAAAGTTCATTATCAAATAAATGGATTTGACTGAAGGTGCAAAGGTGCTTGGAATGAACATGGTTGTCTGAATATCTGTCCTTTGAGAGGGGAAGGAAGACAAAAAGCATAGCAGCTGGATATATTTTTTTTTTGGTATCTAAGGTAAAGTATTAGAAGCATAGTGGGATTCTGCACGGCAATTTAATGTCATACTGCAGCTTAATTGGTGTCGGAAATGGGACGTCTGAATGTTAATTATATTTGGTGAAGGCCTGTGCTTACTGCAGAGTGAATTATGAACCTGTGTCATTCATTGCAGCTCAAATTGGGAAATAACGATGTCCCACAGAGAAATGACCCACTGAGCATATAAAAAAAAGCATATCTACTGTAAATGTTTTAATAATGAATAAATTCAAGGTGAAAATCAAAACGCTGTATCAGAAGTGATTTTAAGTGTCTTTTATTTGTTTAGACACACTAGATCACATGACCCAGAGCACAAAGAGGGAGAGAACAGGAGGTTGCTCTCTTTAAAGGGAACACACACTAGTTCCAATGAAACAACGCATAAATGAATTCTTCCATTTTTGAGACAGGGCAGTGATTTTTTGTGCACTGAATTGTTCTAGGTTAATAATAAAAATCTTTCATTATATACATTATGACCGATTACATCCGACCACACTTGGCTAAATAATATATTATCTTTTGTTCAAGAGATCCGGCTTTGATAGTGTTACAGTATGCCATGTGTCAAATATATTTAGCTTTTTCCTGATTGTATAAAGGGAAAAACATCTTTCTATAAAGAGTAAAATAATGAAGGAATAATGTACAGAATCATTATCACAAAAAAAAAAAAAAAAAACGTCAGGTGTCCTTTATCAACCTAAAGGAGTTTATTTCGGGATAATGACCATGTTACTGTACAGTAACGTACACATTTTTGAGTTGATATTGGTTGAAATAATTCTATTAGCTCAATTGCAGAGACAATAGAGAAACAGAATAAAGAAAAAACTGCCATTATGGAGAAATATTTGACATTTGAATGCAACAATTCACCAATCAGAATCAAGTATTCCAGAGATGATTTTTAAAGGGATAGTTCACTTCAAAATGAAAATTCTGTCATCATTTACCTACCCTCAAGCTGCTTCAAACCTTTATAAATTGCTTTCTTCTGCTGAACACAAAGGATAAAATTTTGAAGAATGTCAGTAACCAAACAGTTAACTGGACCCATTGAATTCCTTAGTATCTTTCTTCCATACTATGGAAGTCAAAGGGGCCCATCAACTGTGTGGTTATTAGCATTCTTTAAAATATCATCCTTTGTGTTCTGCAGAAGAAAGAAATTCATAAAGGTTTGAAGCAACTTGAGGGTGAGTAATGACAGAAGTTTTATTTTGAAGTGAACTATCTCTTTAAAGTAAACTGCCATTTTTACTCTTAAAAAAAGAACAGAAAAGCAGAAAGGGCAATATAATAATAATGATCATTGAATAATTATATTTAATATCTTTTAAAATATGTTTTTAATAACAATTTTCAAGTATTGTTAGAATATTATTAAAAACCAACTATGCAGTATTTGTGTACACATCTTCTAACCTGTTTTCACAGTGGCATGTAAAAGGAAACAAGCATGTAAAATAAGTGATAGATAATGAAGGATTAGCTGCTTGATCTGTTTTCTGATCTTCTTTTGAAGACTTATAACTTCATTTTGTCCAAAACTTCAAAAACGTATTAAAAACCAGACCAGAAATCTAAACAGGCTAGCATTAGCTTACAAATATTCTCAAATGCCCATTCATCAAACAGCTATCTACAGATCACACATACACATACAACAAACACATCTAGTAAATTTTGTTTCTGTAGAACCCTGCCCCGAATGCCCATATTTTTTAGGCCAAAAACACATATAGATATTCGTATAACATGTATTGTTTGCACACAAACAACAAATAGTGCATAAAAATGAGAGACATAAAAGTAAAACGTGGACAACAGTTTCTATAGAGTGCATTCTCTTTTTACCTTAATTTTTGTTATGATTTTAACGATTCATTTGGCAGATTTTTGGATGGATATTGCTTAGCTGAGAAAGTGACCACAAGTACAGTATTCAGTCATGCACACAACAACTGACTGAGTTTAGCTATATAAACTTCTGGCGCAATAACAGAATAAGTACCAGATGGGTGTCACTGGATGAAGTCACATCTCCTCCAGAGATTCAGAGTCTGATGTCTGTGTTTGAGTCATGAGGAGGAGAGCTGCTGTAGAGGAGGCTGGGAGGTAGAGAAAGGGTTCGGGATGACTAAAGGCTGACTTTAAGAGGATCTTTAATCTTCTTTTGCAGTCAAGTTGAGAGTAAGACAACAGAGTAAGAGAAGGAGAGAGAGAGAGAGAGAGAGAGCGCGCAAGAGAGTGAGAAAAAGAGAGAGAGAGAGAGAAAGGGAGGACAGAAAATCCCGGGCAAGCTGATCACAGCTTGTCTGACATCAATCCAATCATCTAGTTTTTCCCACTGGCTCACTGGACACACAGCTGATTTTTTAGGCTAAAAAGAGAAAAAGAAAGTTCAGAAGGTCAGATGATACCTTATGATGCTCATTACAGCCCTGCAATCTAATCGGAAGCTCAATGACAACATTTCACAATCTCCGCTTTAGGACTTGGAGTGGTTGGTGTTCAATCCCGTGTCTCTATCAGACAGGTTTAAAAGCTAACGTCAAAACCCTGCACTCATAACAAAAGTACCCATCCATTTCTCGCTGTAATGACAGGGCTGGGAAAATCTGTACAAATTTCACCGGAACAAAAGATAATAATGTGCTGTGTAAAAACATGAGGGTGTTATGTAATTTACACATTACCATAACCCGAACTCGAATGCTTTAGTTTACACTAATGCAGCTATATAGGGAGAGAGAAAAAAAAAATAGATCTTGCAGTAAAATATACTGTAAGGGGGGCATTTTGAGAATCATTTCTATATCCTGTAAACCATGTTCACGTCTCATTAAATGTTTACAATGAAATATTGACAAGTGGCTTTTACCCTTGAAAGGGACAAACCTTCAAAAGGAATCGTAAAACGGTGGAAAATTTGTGACATTTGTCTTCTAGTTGTCAAAAAATATTCTATTGCTCTGACGGTTTTACATGGTAAAACTTGAATCAGGATAGCAATTCAAGGATCAAGCCATAGCCATTAAATGTTGTCATTTACTACAATTTGCTTCTTGAATCTTGCAAGTTTTAAATAACTTTTTTTTTTTCCTGGATAACACCACAGTATTAAGAGATCATTATCCAAGAGTTACACTATCTCAAGAAAAGCTGAAGGCTCAAGAACATCCTATAAATGTAGAGATTTGTGGGCACAGTTGCTTCAGTTATCAAAAAGGAGAGGCTGTAAATACCCTGTTGCTTAAAACAGATAGTCATTGAAAACTCTCCACACAAGCAAGATAAAGACTTGGTAGGGAAGCCATGGAATAGCAGAAATGATTTGTAGGAGCTATTAAGACTGAAGTTAATGTGCACCGGTAGACTATATCAAGAGCTCTGCAGAACACTTCTGAATGGAGGTGATGGTGAAGCTATTACTCAGAAAGAACCATCAAAATATACTGATTGTGTCTGAGCTGAAATGTGAGGGATAGAACTGATTAAATGATCAACAATTTGCTAAGTGACTTAATCTGAAAGTAACCACTTTAAAACATCCACAGTGTGTTATTTTTTTTAAATAATGTGCAATTTTTTTCAGTTCTTTCAAATGAAAGTATCAAGAAGGTGAAATGAGTGACTCGATAAATGCTCTGATTTGTAGTGCTCCGTTTTGTAACCAAAACCCAAAGCAGAAAGCACACAATTAGAGTAGCAAACTGATTGCATGGAGCAATGACAGCACTAAATGCAGCCCTAATCTTTGACACGCTCCACTATTGTTACAACCAACATGAGCCAAAGTACGGACACTAAAACCCTGCGAATACACCACTTCATGTGACATTTCGAAGGACTCTACTGAGGTTCAGGTCACTTGATACAGTGAGAGGGAGAGGACTGTTTATCTTTGCCATAGTAATGAAATACCCCAGATGCCTCTTCAAAGGGCAATCTGCATTCCAGGCCTCAGCACTAAATCATCCTTCATTTCCAAATGCCAGGCCTCAGAGGATTATTCACATAAATTCTGTAGCACACAATCTTTTTAAAACAGCCCAGTGAAATGTAGGAAGACCTCCCCTCAGTTGTCTAAAGTAAATTAAAAGCCTTCAATCAAGACTCTCTCTTTGACCATCACTTCAGTGGCTTATTCTTTAATAATTGCTTGAATGCATTAAAATGGTTGTTTTACATACTGCACATTTGGTGGCATTGAATTATTTTGTTTATTTCCTCACAAACAAAATGAATTTATGCATCAAGCATTACAGCATTTCTTTATATTTGACCTTTTTTTTTTTTACTATACGTATTTAAATGAATACTCAACTTTGGAGAGTTACATTAGTATAAACTCACCTAAAGGAATATTAGGAACACCCTTCTAATACTCTGTTTGACCCCCTTTAAGTGTGCCGTAACATTTAAACGATGCCCAATTGGCACTAAGCCACATCATTACACCACCACCACCAGCCTGCACAGTGGTAACAAGGCATGATGGATCCATGTTTTCCATTCGGTGTACGCCAAATTCTGACTCTACCATCTGAATGTCTCAAAAGAAATCGGGACTCATCAGACCAGGCAACATTTTTCCAGTCTTCAACTGTCCAATTGTGGTGAGCTCTTGCAAATTGTAGCCTCTTTTTCCTATTTGTAGTGGAGATGAGTGGTACCCGGTGGGGTCTTTTGCTGTTGTAGCCTATCCGCTTCAAGGTTGTGGCTTCACAAATGCTTTGTTGAAGACCTCGGTTGTAATGAGTGGTTATTTCAGTCAAAGTTGCTCTTCTATCATCTTGAATCAGTCAGCCCATTCTCCTCTGGCCTCTAGCATCAACAAGGTATTTTTGCCCACAAGACCACATACTGGATGTTTTTCCCTTTTCACACCATTCTTTGTAAACCCTAGAAATGGTTGCGCGTGAAAATCCCAGTAACTGAGCAGATTGTGAAATACTCAGACCGGGCCATATGGCACCAACAACCATGCCATGCTCAAAAATGCTCAAATCATCTTTCTTTCCCATTCTGACATTCAGACCACACCCCTAAATGCATTAAAGCAACTGTCATGTGATTGGTTGATTAGATAATTGCATTAATGAAAAATTGAGCAGGTGTTCCTAATAATCCTTTAGGTGAGTGTATGCATCACATGCCTCATTTTTAAAGGTGCACAACAGAACCTTGGCTTTTCTATCCCTGTCTGTGGTTGAAACATTTTTTTTCTTCTTCTGCACAATTGAATCTGATTGTTTATACGCATGGTTGCCTCTGAGCACCATATAAGAGCAGATCTGTATACAGCAAGACCCACGGACATTAAGAAGAAAATCCTAAAGTCATATATGGATGCATCAAATGATGCCTGTGCAAGTAACATAAACTGCCATTAGTATACATTTTACCTAAAAAACCCCCCTGTAATTTCAACTTTAATGCAGAACGAAGCAAAAAAAAACATTGAATGGGTATGGGTCATTAGATATCATTCAACAACAACAACAAAAATATTTTTTTGTCATAACACAAAACATGTATTTATGTCTTTATTGCGAGTTGCTATCAGCAGCAAAAAAGAAAAAAGAAAAAAAAGAATCCAAGTGAAATGGATTAATGTTGCATATATATATATATATATATATATATATATATATATATATATATATATATATATATACGTATTTATATATATATATATATATATATATATATGAAGAGTTCAGATGCAAAAGCCTCTAAATGCCATTTGAAATTTTCTTCTAAAATGACCATTTTTATCAAGCTTGTATATTTAAGTTCAGCAATTTCACTTAAATAGCAATAAAGATTACTTATTAATTACTTATTAATTAAAAGATTACTTAAAATTACTGAACTTAAATATATAAGCTTGATAAAAATGGTCATTTTAGAAGAAATTTTCAAATGGCATTTAGAGGCTTTTGCATCTGAACTCTTCATATATAAAACTCTTAGGGCAAAAGTAAGCTTTATCCTATTTCCAAGATGTTACTTAACAGGTCAAGCTCACAAGCTGAAATCTGTTATGCAGAAGACAAACTGTAGGCCTACTTTCATCATGTTGTTTTCGTACTGCATTTGAACTTGTTGCCTTTCCATTTAAAATAGCTGTACAAAACATGCCATCCGTAGTTAATAATTTACAGTTCTCACATCCCAAATTAAGCAAAACGAGGTAGCCTGGAGCAAAATTTTACATAATAATCTTCAGAGCTTTAGGTCCCACGTTCAAACTAAATTGCTGTTGCCAAACCAACGCTGACCTCCATCCACCTTCTCCCTCCTACCTTCCCTTCTTTCCTCCCTCCAGTGTAATTTTCAAGTGCCAAGCTTAAGTACGACGTAATGGTCCGATTTACACCCGTGTAGTGTTTTATGCATGCTTCTACCTTGCAGAGTAATTTATATACTGAACAAATAGATTTAACAATTTAATATTTTACTTTTGTGAAGAAAATAAAGTGTTTTTGTGTTGAAACAAACATTTCATCAAATTCCACAGTGACATCATACTTTTGATCCTGACACACTTTCAATTCCAGGGACTAAAAAGTAAATGATTTGCAGTTGTGGTGATTCATTCTTCTCCTAAAGCAGTGCTCAAGCAGCATCCCTATTAAGCTTCAGAGTGGAGGGTGGGTGTCTTAGGATAGAGACATCAAAGCGCCATGGTCTGATCTGTGATGCAAAATGGAGTAAGCTCTTGGGGCATACAATTTGGCGTTGTGGGATTGTGTATGCTAAATGCTGTTCTTCATGTGTAGGGTCCTCAGAATGAATCTGCCCACAATAGTGAAATTTTAGAATTTTACAGTACATAAAAAAAGTAGTCAATTACTGATTTTTATTTTTAAAAATTAAAGCTTTATTGAGTCAAATTCTGTCATGGCAACTGAGAGTTTGACATGGTAATGAATATGACAATGTTGATATGTTAGATCTGTTATATTACTGCTGCTGCTGCAGAGCATATAACTTGCAACTGCCAATACATACACGACACGCTGCTGTGAGCATTACAGACATGCTGCTGCTGTACAATATAGCATATATGAATTACCCATAGCAGATCTACACAGGTGGAGTTGGGGAAGGATGTGGGTTTCTGAAAGTGTGGTGCAACTACTACAGCAAATGCTGACCAAGCATTTGAAGGTTGAGCAGCGAGCTCATTGGCTACTGATACAGCAGGAACCAATTAGCTGTGCCCTATAAAGGAATGATGTGATTGCAAGCAGATTGGGCAAAGGACATATCAGCCTGCGCCATCTTGAGTTTCATGACAGAACTTCAGCTTTGTGTTAAATAAAGAGGCTGTTTGGGCTTATTTTGGCAACCTAAATGCTTATATAGGAT